ATACACGCATCAAATTGACGGTTTTGAATAGCGTAATCGTACCGCCGCTAGAGTACGCCGGAGAAGAATGCGAAGGAAATAAGAAGGTAGTGAAAGCACTCGCGGCGGCGCAGATGAAAGCAGTGAAAATCATCCCAGAATGCTCCACGCGCACAAGTAATGCAGCCGTGAGGGCAGAATTGGGGATCCAATCCCTACGGTCGGGAAGAGACGCGAGGAAGCTGACCTGGCAGTATCGCATGTGCGGGATGGGAGAGGAGAGGTTGCCGAGAATTGTATGGGAGGCGAAGTGGGCAAACAAAAAGAGGGGTAGACAACCCACGGAATGGGTCAAGGTTGTAGAGGACGTATGGAAGGGGCTCGACATCGACGAAGATGAAACGCTGGAAACGGAGGGTCTACAGGGGTTCAAGGAGAAGATATCTGTTGCTTGTGCCGAGAGAGAAGAACAGAATCTGAGGAAAGAATCCAAGGATAAGGAGGGTCTAGAAGTGTACGGAATGTTGAAGGAAGGAATAGGGTTCAAGGACTACCTACATGGACCAATGGATGCAGGAACAAAGCTTAAGGTCAAATTCAGGACCGGGGACATAGGCCTTCGAGAACGTCGACGAAGACATAGGACGGTAGACGAGGAAGACGACGAGTTCAAATGTGATTGCGGCTTCGAATGCGAAGACCGTGTTCATGTAGTCGCGGAATGTCCGTTGTACAAGAAGGAGAGGGAAGTGTACGTGACTGAGCTGGGAAAAATAGATGGAACGTACAGGGAGATGTTTGAGGCATGGAATAGAGAGGAAAGGACGGTAGCTGTAGTGGGGCATAGGAGGTGGGTTGAAACGGCGGGAAGGGATGTCGTTAGGATAGACAGACTAGGGAAGCCATTTTTGAGCCACCTTTGGCAAAGTAGAAAGGAACGATTGGCCATCGGCAATCAGTCCTGTGGGAACAATGCTACGTCCTCTCGAGGACGCGTGGTCAATGGTCTAACCGCTAAGGCATGCAAAACATAAGAGTACGCTCCCCTCCCCCCCCCGCTCTGTTTGTCGCCGCCCTTCGGCCCCACTGGTGCCGGTTCAGATCGGAACCGTCCCCGTCATCCCAGGGCCAAGGCGACGATGACGTCAGCAGCACCAGCGGCGGAACCGGGGAGTATGACGTCGACGACCCCGAAGCTGGATACCGAAGCAACGGCTCTTTCAACGGTCAGCAACAGGGCAAAGGGGGGTGGGATGGCGAGTCTCAGCCGCGAAGAGCGAGGCAACAAGCGGAAGAGGAAGCGGCTGGGGGTAGCGAAGCAGCAGCAGCAGCAGCAGCGGCGGCGGCGGCGGCGGCGGCTGGGTCAACAGCCGGAGGGGCGGTGGCGGTGGAGAGCAGCATGGAGGAGGGGAACGGTGTGACGGACCCGTCCTTGCCAGGCTGCGAGAGGAGTCAATAGGCGGCGGAACTGCTGTTCGATTGGCGGCGGATCTACCTATGGATCGACTGCGCCAGCGGTCTCGCTTCCGGAAATGGATTTTGCCTGGCGTACGGAAATGAATAATGGACTTTAACTGGCGGACGGTAATGCTTTTCAGCAGTAACGGAATATTGGATTTTGACTGGCGTACGGCAATGCTTCTCAGCAGTGACCGTACGTTCACGCCTGACGCATCGGTCACTATTGAATTCCCGTAGGTCTCGTACGTAACATTGCACCGCACCCCTTTTTGAGGCTCGATTGCTCCCCGACGCCAAGACTGAATGATAAGTTGTTGGGAAGCCCTCGACGGGGTGGTTCCAACGCCAAGATTTTCAGGCACCTTACCGCGTTTTTTTGGCTGCGGAGTAGTTGTTCGAGCTTCGAAAATCGGTCCAAAGGGGCTTGCGGTATCTGAAGTATTTTCGATGTACGGTTTACCGGCCGGGTAACAGGCAAATTTGTCAAGTTGATGTTGCCGCCGAAAACGCCGGCGCTTTTCAACCGGCACCTTGCTGGGGGATCACAATACCGTGACCACTCTGAGGGGGGTGCTGTTGCATTATGGGGTCCAGGCGCCAGGTAGGTATAAAGAAGAGTGTTTTGATACGGGGATAGCAGTCCGTGCCTGGTTGAAGCGGCTGACTGTGTCCATGACCAACTGTATGCGGCAAGTGGATGGCTGTATTCAGGAAAACGATGGTTGCTTGGGTGGGTAAAGGCAACGTGTCGTGATTTGTGTTGTCGGGGCCATGGGCTATGGAACTACGTGCAACATGCGATACTGGCGGCATGCTCTCCAGCCTCCTGCAGTGTTCGTCGACACAGAAAGTAGGCAACGTCCGGGCACTGTGAATGTCTGTCTCTCCGCTGGAGGAGCACGAGCGAGCAATGCATTTATTCTGGTTTGGAGTCTATGTTGCAGAGGAGCGGCCGTTACTGGTAACGGCGGTGATCTGTACGGCGGATCATTAGATGGTATAAAAATGAAAAATGCAGTTTATGAGAAATGAAGATCCTGTATCTGAGAAATGAAAATGCGGTTGAAATGAACATGCCGTCTCAGAGAAATGACCATGCGGTTTCTGAGAAATAAATAAATGTAGTTGAGAATTGAACATGCCATTTCTTGAGATATGAAACGCAGTTTCCGAGAAATGAAAATGCAGTTTCTGCCAGTCCCTGGGCATGCTGTGTGTTGTTTGCGTCTCGGTTTTTCACTGTTGCTGTCAGTGCTGGAAGTGTTCAATTTTTTGGGTCCTGGGAGATAACCACGGAGCGATACGATGTGAATTGTAACATGGTGGGAAGGAATTGTTTCGAGCGTGTCATGGTTCTCCGTTTTTGTGGCATAATAGGCACCTTGGCTTGGCGACTGTTGATCTATTTATGGTCCAGTGTTTTTTTTGTGACGCTGCTAATGGATAGCGAGTCTTGACTGCTGAGTTCTCTTACAAGGTGCCGGATGTGTCATAATCTTATCGCGGTGCCTGTTATTCCATATATTTATCTTCTTGTTCAGGGAAGCAGTTGCTCTTTCATTGGCTGGGTGGTCAAAGGCACGTCATGCATGCGGGTGCATTTTTTTGTTTGTTTTCGAAAATTGCTGCGTCCGAAGAGTGGTGGGGGCCTTCTCTTGCCAAAATCGAGCGCGCGATGAATTCGTTGCTATTTCTTTGCTGTAGACTTGTGGGGTTTTCTCCCGTCTCTGTGGAGAGAGTTTTTTTTATATATCTGTGGTCTGCAAGAAGAGTTGATTCGTCTTCGTTTACTGTAAGAGCAAGAGAACGTCTTCTCTTTCGCAAGAACAAACAAATTTTTGTCTTTTGTGTCATAAAGAGAAACAGTCTTTTCTGTAAAAGCAAGAACATCCTAGGTGTTGCCTGCGGTCAGCGGGGGGCATCGTTTCACAAATGCCTGGAAGCAGCGCCTGAGTTTCACTGCCCCCGGCTGTTCCTTCTATCGGTCACTACAGCAGTTGCGCCGCGGCCGTCGATTCTGATTGGTCAGTTTTTTTTCGTAGGCGATGCGGGGGTCTTCGATGTGAAACTTGACAGTGATCGTGAGGTCGCTACTGTGTGCTTCGTCTCGGCGATACGTGTGCTTGTTCGAGCACAGGACTGACGGCATGATCATTGAAAAAAGGTCACTCACAATTTTCTTGGCTGTCAAGTACGGTGCCCGCAATTGTCTCATTGGCCAACGTTGTCGTACCGCTGATTTATGATTGGCCGAAATTCTTTGCGCGGAACCACTGAATGGGCGTCAATCGCCCGGCCTCTTCCAAACTCGCAGTCTTCCTGTTGGTCAACATTGATTGCTTGGTGGGGTAGGTTCTGATTGGGCAAGATGGCTTGGACGGAGCAACCAACCATGGTACATGGTGTGCGGTTCGCTGGTCCTCTCCAAAATAGCCGATATCTGGTGGTGACCCAGCTCTCTGCATAGGCCCACTCGGGTGCTGTACATTGTATTCCTGTGTATTCGGGCAGTCATTGTGCCCCCGTTCAGCCACACGAAGATTTTGTGCAGGGCATCTCACAAGTGGCTCTTTTCGTGGCACAGAATTTCACTCACTTGAAATTGTCTAGAACTTCGTGAGGCAGCAGGTACTGGATACATACAAAACCTCCGCCCTCCCCAAACGCCGTGACTCCACCTGCTTCTGCCGAGAATAGCCTTGGCTGTTCCTGCCTGCAACTGATATGATGGTCTATTTTGATCTCTGGGCCGCGCTACGTCAGGCAATGTTGCGAAAGAATCTCATCTGTTTATTCATTTTTTCCGGATGAGCGGGCCGGCGCTGTACAGAAACAGACGGACGGAGTCGTACCTTTGAAAATCTCTGATTTCGCACGAGAATCGTTTTTTGTATGTTCCAGGTGGGATCGGGAGTAATGATTTTTGTGTAGGGTGCAAAACTGAGCACCTTTTCATCGGGTTCACCGCCAATTGGGCCCTTATGGCACATATGTCAGGATTTTTGTGCGCGTGAAGGCTTTGACCCTGTCGTTTAGATACTGCTTGCGGTCAAACTCTTGTGAGGGCCACGCTTCAACCCATGTTGTTGGAGAACCCGTGATTCGCCATAGAAGCGAGGATGACATAGTCTAGACTATTAATTGTTGGTCATCTTCATTGCGGCTTTCCGCGCCAAAATCCCACGATGAAATTGACCCATGATAAAACCAGCACGGAACCATTTGAGAAAACCAACAAAAGAGGCGTTTTACGTAAGCTACATTGTATTGCACCACGATGGGTCCACCCAATAACTTACCTGCTCGATGACCTCCCGCATGCAACGATAACATGTGGCCAAAATTCCGATCACACCGTAACGTGGTAGATGTCAAGGACCCGCCCACAGGCATATTGATTGATTTTTCTTTGAAGACAGGATATTTCGAATGAACCTACTTTTACCTTTCACAGACATCTTGGTGACGAGTTATGTTCAATACACCGTTTCGCCGAAAACGCGGCGGAACTAGAAACTCTCGATTCCCGTTATTCCCGTGCCCCCACCATCTCCCCGGCCTGCCCCCCCCGTCCCTGGGGTAGGCCGAGGTTCCGCAGGTGGATCTAGACCTCGAAAGACCACCCAGCAACGACGGCTATACGGTCCCTAGCACTGTTTAGAGGGGGATCCTGACTTTGGCGGTTGGGAGTTACTGCTGTCGTGAGATCGGGGTAGCTCCTGAGCCGCCAGCTTTGGTAGCTGCAAAAATGAGACTGAATCCTGATGCCCCGGCTTGGACACCGGGGCTATGCAGCAGCGAGAGCACGGTGAGGGTGGCGGAGTGGGCGCACGCCGTGGGGGTATGCCCCAGAGAGAGGAAAGGAGAGCCACATCGCTCCGGGACAAGAAGACAACTCTCTGGGAAACAAGGCAAGAACCGGGGTAACTATCACGTTAGCCCGAGTGTTCGCAAGACATCAGTAAAAAAACAATAAAAGAGAGGAAGATGGAGGAAAAGGAGGAGTCGGGCGGCGCGTAGGCTAGCTAAGAGAGCAGCGCGCGCCGCGCGAAAGAGATAGCAGGGTCAACTTCTTAGGGTAGCAACCTGGAATGTGCGGACTTTGGCTGAAAACGGGGCCAATGGATACGGGCGAGCCTACAGCGTTCTACACGAGGCAGCGAGACAAGACGTATCGGTGGTAGGAATGCAGGAGACACGGAGGGCAGGTCGAACGGAATTTGCAGCAGCGGGTTTCCGGGTGTTCTGCTGTGGCACGGAGACTGGTGGAGTCCATGGTGTGGGGATAGCTGTCAAAGAGTCACTGTGCAAGACATCCACGTTCACTACGGAGTTTTTCGACGAACGCCTTATGGCCATGAGGTTTCTGTTGGCAGGCCACCGTGGAGCGGTAAACTTCGTAGCCGCGTATGCTCCAACCGAACCTTCAACCGCCGACAGGAAGCGCGTGTTCTGCGGAAAACTTGACAGTCTCGTACGGAGGATCCCTTCCAAAGAATGTGTGTATGTCCTACTGGACGCCAACGCGCGGACGGGAGATAGGTTGGACGGAGGGGACGGAA